TGAGTCGGTTCCGACTCAATGGCACCTGACAACAACAACAACTCTACATTTAAATCATGAAGGAAATTTGAAGTCTATATGGGTTTCTCTTTCTTTTTCTTTTTTTTTTTTCTTTTTTCTCTCTTCATATAAACCCTTTGTCTTTTCTCATTTTGGATGTTGAAGTCTGATTGAGAAAATGCAGAATTATAGATAACTGTTTATTGTTACAAATGATAAAGGGTAGTTCATAATATTAAGCCCATTTCCTAAAAGATTACCAAACAAAGAATGCTATTAACCCATTGACCTTGGAGTGGATTCTGATTCATAGAGACCCTATGTTGCTGTTAAATACCCTTGAGTTGGTTCTGATTCACAGCGACCCTGTTTAGGGTTTCCAAGGAGAAGCTGGTGGATTTGAACCATTGAACTTGAGGTTCAAATCAATCTTGTGGTCCAGTGCATTATCCTGCAGCACCACAATAGGACTCCATAGAAACCCTATAGGACAGAGTAGAACTTCCACATAGGATTCCTTTATGCATGCCTTTCTCCCACAGAGTGGCTGGTGGGTTTTAACTACTAACCTTTTGGTTATCAGCTCGGTGCTTAACTCGCTCTGCCACCATGACTCCTTAAGAGTGCTGCATGATGTAGTAAATAGCATATGTACTATGGTTTAAACATGAATTTGATTTTGAAAACCCACATTCTGATCACGATAGTAGTGGTTTTTGCTTGTTTTTATGGTTGCCTGCATAGTGGCCACAGAGGGCCTGCCATGAGTTACTTATGTTGTTGTTAAGTGCTGTTGATTCATACTTACCTTTAATTGGTTAGGTTCATTCGAATGGGAAAAACAAATTGTCTTCAAGAATCTTATGTATATTCATATGTTCAAGAATCTGTTTCTTAATAAATTTCATCTTTTAGAGTCAAGAATGGGCACACCTGAGAACAGTAGTGTGAAGGGTCAGGACCCAGGCATTTGTCCATCTGTGCCACTGTCCCCTAAATCACAAGCAAAGAAAATTGAGTGGTGAGGTAGAACTGTGCAGTAATACCACATACCATATTCCCGGAATCAAAACTGATAAAAACAAGTCTACTCCATGAAGAAAGAACTTACAGTTTGTCACTATTGATTTCTGGTAGGGCCTGGGAGTCATTTTATGGAGTCTTCTTGAAAGATGATTCAATTTCTCTTTTAAATATATTCTATTTTATTATAACATTAGATTATCAGAGCTTGAGAAAAATCACTTTTAATGGTGAAGTTTCTGCCCCATATGCTGCTTTATTTTCCATGCTTGCTTGAGATTTCAGTTGGTGTCATTGATCCTTCCATGAAAATAAAAACATAAATTCATATGTGCTCTCTTGAGATGGGATTTTGCTGTGCAAATGGGAAAATAATTATGCAAATGTGGATGAGCAGATGAGCTTATTCAGGCACAAGTACTTTATTTGTGGCTCTGCAGTGTTTTATACTAACCAACCATGTCAGTAACATTATCTGGATAATTATAATTATTGTGTCTATTTCAGGTGGTCCACCCTGTGAAGATATAGGTATATATGAATCATAAAGCAAGTGTTCCTCATGGCTTTTATATAAGCACCTTGATGGAAAAAGTCATTTGTTTTCTGTAGTGAATGTCTGCAAACAATATGGTTTTTTAAAAACTTTTTATTGTTTACTGAGTGAAGGTTTACAGAGAAGTTCATCAATTTTGCATCCCACACATCATACACTATGTTTAATCTCAGTGATTGCAATCGCTTCCATGCAACAACAATTATCCCACTTCCTTCCTGTGGTACCCATTTCTCTCCCACTTGCTTTCCCATCCTTCTGAACTTTGTCCTTAGATAACTGATACCCTTTTGATCTTGAATGTTTGATAATTCCTTGATGAACATATTGTCATTGCTCCCTCTGTAAACCTATCTACTGCTCAACTGAAAATTTGGCCACAAAGGTGAGTTCCTTTTCAGACCTGAATGGTTGCCAAGGGACATAGTCTTGGGTTTGTTTTCTGACTAGGTAACCTGGTCTTTTATATATCTATATATATGTAATTTTGAGTTTTACACAGTTTTAAAACTTGCTCTGTATTGAGACTCAGCTAAGTGATACTCACCTTGCTATGGATGTCGCATACATTAATTTCTGACTCATAGCCATCCTATAGAGGTTTTCTGAGGCTGTAAATCTTTACAGGAGCAGAATGTATTTGAACTTCTGACTTTGGGGTTAGCAGTCCAATGCTTATCCTACAGCACAACCTGGACTCACAATCAGCTCTGGTGGGGGTAGCAATTATGTGCTGTGGAGTCGGTTCTGACTCATAATGACTATGTATTGGGTTTCTGAGGTTGTAGAGCTTTACGGGAGCAGAAAGCCTGATCTTTTTCCCATAGTACAGTTGCTAGTTTTGAACTGCTGACTTTGAGTTTAGCAGCCCAACTTGTAACCACTGTGCTAATGGAGCTCCTTGATCAACTCTCGGGAGGATGAGTAATATCTTCACCTCTTTTTATCCTATTTTATACCTTGAGCATAGTCTGCCCTTACCAAATAATAGTTGATTTTTTCTCCTCCACTTAACAACAGCAACAAAACATTTCTATAACTCTTGAAAGCAGGATATGTTAAAGTATGTTCGTATAAATATCATTCATGTGAGAGAATTGTTCCTCAAAATAGATGGTCTTTGGTCAAGTAAGTGTGAAAAAGCGTCTATCCCATTACCCATATAGAAAATTGCCATACATATTGGCATTTTCAGTTCTTTGAGGACTACTTCAGCAGTGAGACCATTTTCAGTTTAACCCAAATTTTCTGGCTTTCTCTCCACTTTTTTTTTTTTTTTTTTCCATAAGACCCCATTAATGTGTTACTCTTCAAAGTATTCTTTGCAAGGCCTTGTTTTAAATTTTTTTTGTGTGTGTGTAAGTATGTGCTAATAATATTAGTAAATGTGGAAATTGAGTTTTGATTAGATGTTAGCTGGACATGCTGTTTGACCTGGCTGGTTTTTTATATGGAACTGCACCACCCGTCAGCAGCATCCGTGTGTGTATGTGAGTGCATGTGTGCATGTGTGCATGTGTGTGTGAATGAAATATACAGTGTGGACTCAACCTGAAAATAGACTGAGGCTGAAAAGAGAACGATTGGAACTGATCTTTCAGCTTGATTTTCTGCTGGAATCTCTCTTGCTTCTCATAATATGCTTGGAAAGTTTTATTTGTACCTCAAGGGCAATGAGCCTGGCCTCATTTACACATATGAATGCAGATAATATCTTTTCCTTCAAGCAGTCTTGCTCATTGTCAACTTGTTTATTTACTTCCTTAGAAAAGGAATATCTATCTCTCTGGAATTAGATGTGACATGGGAAAACAGACACTTTGGTGTCAGAGTTTGGATTTGATTCCTAACTGAGCCCTCTGTGAGCCAGAGCACACTTAGTTTCCTTTCTAAGACTCTCATTCCTTGCTACAGTGACTGGATCTCAGCTGTCTCTGAGTGAATCTTAGAAGACCCTAGTATGAAGCCCTTAACACAGTGCAGGGCATAAAGGAGATGTTTGATGCATAATAGTTGTCTTTGCTGTTATGTTTGTGATGGACAGACAGATCATGACAAAGAGAATTCCACGGGCAGAAAATCACTCAGACAGAACTTAATCTCTCCTGTAGGTGCCATTCCTTATTTCACATTGGTATTCAAATTCTAAATGGTATCACTATTCTTTGTGTCCTCTGTTTTTATGAGGAGACTGTAAACTGAGGGAGAAGTAAGAGCTGACTCATCATCTAAGAAGAGTAATATTTTAATTCTAATAATATGTGAATAAATAACTTGGAAAATGTGTAAATAATTTTAATAATTTGAAATCTAGAAGAGCGACAGAATTGATCGTGCTACTCATAAAGTCTACAAAACATAATCCCCCATTATTTTAGATTTTATGTTAAAATATTGTGCTAAGGTGTTTTTAACAGAGTCTTGTAAAAGTTGTATGTTTAGAAAGATGCTAAGTTAATAGCACAACATGGACTCCGTTGTTTAACGGTACCTTGCCTTTTAGTTAAATTTGTGTTTCACAATTCATTGGATTGTCTAAAAGGAGAATAGAAAAGGTATTAATGAAAATTTAGGATTGGTTTTCAATTTTTGTCTCAACTCATTATATAATTTTAGCCCTAGCCCCATTTCCATTGTTGTTTCAAATTATTTATCGCTGTGCTCAAACAGAACAAAAGAATCATCATGTAATATTTTGCTTAAGGTTATAAGGATGAAAATGTCCAAAAGAAAATTAGAATGATAAAGTTCTTCTTTAGAGAATAAAATAGAATGTTCAATGTAAATTGTGGGTTTTAGGCCAACAGATTACACTCACCTTCATCTTATAGAAAAATGCATACTAGTTTCATGTGATTGTTAATAACATATCATTCATGCTTGTCTCCAGCCATCCATAGCTAACTTGTTGTTGGAAGAAGCCAACTTTGTCCCTCTGAAGCTGATAAATGGGAATTTTGCTATGGTATCTACTTTTCTAAATGCCTAGTGATCTCCAGACAATTTTTTGTGACAGAAATATTAATGAAAGGCTGACACCACTATCATTTTTAAATCTTTATTCAGTTCAGACAGCAGGTGTGGTCTTCTAAACTAAGTTGAAGTAATACAGGGAACAATGGGCCTCCGTGCTCCTTAGACTTATCTCTGTTACACATTAACAAGCTTGTATCTGTGTTGTGATCTTGTTGATTACAGGAGAGGATGTATCAGGGAGTCTCTGCCCAGTGCCTCCTCCTCCAGAACAGATGGCTTGTGAAATCCCCTGCCGAATGGACTGTATGGTGAGCGACTGGACAAAGTGGTCATCCTGTTCCCAGTCCTGTTCAAATAAAAACTCAGATGGGAAACAGACCAGGTCAAGGACCATCCTGGCACTGGCTGGAGAAGGTGAGTCACAATGGAAGTTTTAACTTGAGTTACTTCTTCAAAAACATTTCCCAATTGGTAATTGAAAAGTTCATGATTGGGATGCAACCACCCTTAAGTAATCATATTGTCTGATTCGAAATGTCTCCTAGTGCATCATTCGGTGTTTTGCCTGTAGAATGCTTCTGTATTGCCAGTCGAGGCTTGAATTTTCCCTTCAGTTCTTACACTTTAACAAATACTCTGAGTGTTCTTCACTTTTGGTTTTGTAACTCTAGGTCTTTGCATATGTCATAATTCTTGACTATGTTTTCTTGAGCTGCCTTTTGAAATTTTTTGTTCAGCCCTTTTATCTCCTCATTTCTTTCATTTGCTTTACTTTCTCTATGTACAAGAGCAAGTTTCAGAGTCTCTTCTGATATCCTTTAAAAATTTTTTTTTTACTGTGAATTCCGTCATAGTTTACATGGGAGAACATTGGTTTTACACTTATCACTTCATTGCAATTATTGCAGTCTCCTCTGTGCATCATTGTTCAATGGTATTTGCTTCTATTCCCTCTGGGGTTTTTTGTTTGTTTGTTTTTTTGGATGTACCCCAAAACACTCAGTAATATATAATCATTTAAACAACCAAGGACACATTCTGTAAGCCTACCTCCTGGCTGTCAACACACAGCCTTTCTCTATCAATGAGTCTTGAGCCCTCAGATGCTCTATTTATCCGTGTCTTCCTCTCTGCCTCCCTCTCTGGTGTCACTGCTTTCCTATCTTTTTAATAACTTTTTGCTTTTTCTGGTATGATGTCCTTAATGTCATTCCACAATACTTCTGGACTTTAGTTATTAGTGTTTATGCATCAAATTTGTTTTTGAGAGGGTCTTTAAATTCAGATGGGATATATTTAAGGTCATAGTTTGCCTCTTTTGGATTTGTTCTCATTTTCTTCGGCTACAGTCTGAACTTGCATATGACCAGTTGATGGTGTTTTCCACAGTTTGCATCTGTTCTTGTGTTGGCTGATGATACTGAGTTTTTCCATCATGTTTTCCCACAGATATAGTCTGTTTGATTCCTGTGTTTTCCATTTGGTGTGGTCCATATGATAGTTGCTTTTTATGTTGATTTAAAAAGGGATTTGAAATGAATAAGCCATTGGTCTTGAAAAATTCTATCATGTGATCTCACCCATTATTTCTATCATGAAGCTCATATTATCTAAGTGCTGAGTTTCCTCCTTGTTCCCAAACTTGGTATTTCAGTCACTAGTTATTATCTATACATCTCGAGTGTATATTTGATTAATATTAGAGTGAAGAAGAAGTTGGTAGAATTCTTCAATGTCATCATCACTGGTTTTAGTGGCTTGTGTGTAAATTTGAATCATAGTGGTATTAACTGGTCTTCCTTGGTAGGTGTATGGATATTGAAGTGTGTAGTGGTTACGAATCGGGCTGCGAACCTTAAGGTCAGCGGTTTGAAACTACCAGCCGCTCCGCAGGAGAAAGAGGAGGCTTTCTACTCCCGTAAGGATTTACACCCTCGGAAACCCTGTACAGGGTCGCTATGGGTTGGAACCGACTCAATGGCACTTAACAACAACAACAACAACAACATCTGATGATGAATGTTATGCCATTCTTGGTGAATTTGTAGTACCCACCATAGTACATCATATAACTGTCTGATTCAAAATGTGTAAATCTATCCATTTTAGCTCACTAATGCCTAGGATATTGATTTTTATGTTTTCCATTTCACTTTTGACAGATTAAATCTTTTCTAGCTTCATACTTAATACAGTCCATGTTCTGATTATTAATCGATGTTTCCATCTCTTCCCCAATCATGTTTTGTATGCCTTCCAATCTGAGGGGCTCATCTCCTGGCACTATATCTGACAGTGTTATGCTGCAATACATAAGGTTTTCAGCTTGGCACTATGTCTGACAGTGTTCCACTATTGTTCATAAGGTTTTCAGTAGCTAATCATTTAAAAATAGTGCTCTTTCATCATCATGTGCAGTGTCTCCCTGGGTATCTGTATTTATTCTGCTCTTTCTGTAAGACACCAGTCAGAAAAGACTAAGCATAGGACTAACAATACCCTAGTATTACCTCATTGGCATAGCAAAAGAAAACCACTACCCCCTTTTCACAAAGGATTAGATTTACAAGTGCAGAGAATAGGGCTTGAGTGCAACTTTTTAAAGGAGCACAATGGAATCATTTCTATGTATATATATTTTTTCTTTAATCCTCTAATTTACCTTTGTTCACATTTTTTGTATTTAGTCCATATCTGTGGTGGTGCAGGTGGTTTGTGATTGGCTGCTAACCTAGTAGTTGGCATGGTGAACCCACACAGCAGCTCCTCAGAAGAAAATGCTGGTGAACTGCTTCCATGAAGATTGCAGCCAATAAAACTCACTGGAGTAGTAGTACTCAGTAACAGGGGGGTTGCCATGAGTCAAGGGCCAACTGTAGGACCGCTAACAATAACATAGCAATAACATACACATATGTGGGCCTTGACCATCAGATGAATGCCATTTTCTCTTTTCTTGAGAGAAAGAAACATAGCTAGTTGTCAGTCATTCAGTTTTAAGTAGCTCATGTAGCTGGGAACATAATTGAAATATTTTTGGTAAAAGAGATCCAAATTAAGAATCAGGAGACTTGCTAAGACAGAGCCATTGCCATGCTGCAATGAGTTTCGATGACAGGTAAGACGGGGAAATTTGCACTGACTGCCTAAGACAGGCAGCCTCCCGTAAACAAATAATAAATAAGGGGGAATCTGGTGCAGACCATACAGACTCGGTCAGGAGTCCGAGGCCTGTGGGCTCAAACGTTGCAGACCGTCCAAACCATAGACTCTGTGGATCAAACTATAGCCACCTAGCAGACATAGCAAACTGTCCCTCATCTGATTATTCAGTTATGCTGGTTAGTAATTCCATACATGAGCCCTGGATATCCACATATATGTAAAAACCTTCCCTAAAAGCCGAGACTGTAAATGCCAAAAAGGCAAAGTTTCCCCCCCCCAAAAAAAGCTAAAGAGGATAGAGAGAAACACTGTTAACCGATGGTATGTGGAGGGGATTATAATCAATGTAATGAAACAAGGTATATGAATGTTTGAATGTGAAACTGATGATGTGCCCTGTAAACGTTCACTCAATCCACAATAAAAACCTTAAAAAAAAAAGAATCAGGAGACTTGGCTTCTCAACCTTGAACTGCCACTAACATTGGCTGAGTACCTGATCTTTAAGCCATGAGCTCCAGTTGTTTCATGTGGGCCTGTTCAAGGGGTAGAAAGATGAAGGCTTTGAAATGTCTTGAAAGAGCTAAAAAGTGCTACGGGAATGTAGACAGAAGGCATCAGGACAAATTAGAGGAGCAGATGTTCCTATTATTGAAAGCACTGATCTCTGTCCTGAGAAACACATGAGATTTCTTTCAGATTCAAGACTTTCTTTGTCTGCCCATAAGTTAGTTATAGGACAGTGGGGTGGGGGTTGGTGCTCTGGTTACTGGCTGTTTGGAACTCCCTTATAATCAGGATTCTCATCCGTAATTCTGAGAAATGGGGCCAGGGTCAAGGTGAATGAAGATCTACATATTCTTAAACTGTAATTTTATTTCTTTTTTTTCCTTTTATATTTCTGGAAGGGGGAAAGTTGGCAGAGGTATTTAATGGGGGAGAAAATAACAAGTGTAACAAAACCAAGGTCACAAATCTTCTGGAAAGTTGGGCCTATTGAATAAAACATTATAGTGTGGATGACGAGGGAAAGATCAGTATTTCAGATAAGTAACACTTTTACATGAATGTAAAACTATGAAAGAAAAGATAATGATGAGATTTGATTGTCTGATTCACTCAATAGTATAAGGATACACACCTGTCTGGTCTTCTTGCCAGTGGTTAGCACATTGTCTGATACAATTTCAGAGTCTAAGGATGGTGTAGCCTCCCTTGTCAAACTTTAACAAATACTTATGGATTTGTCAAATCTCAGTAAAATGCATTGCTTGTTGGAGGGTTGCTATCTTAAAATGGTACTCTAAGAAAAAGAATGCCTGTTTGTGGAAAGGGAGACCATATGTATACAGTTGTATGCATGTGGGTGTCCTACTAATCCCACTTCAAGGTCATGGACTATTTTATCTGATTTATCTTGTTGTTGTTTTCAAGTGTCATTGAATTGATACCAATTTATGAAGACCCTGTATGGAGTTTCCAAGGATAGGATGGTGGGTTTGAACTGCTTACTTTGCAGTTAATCTAGTGGTTATCCTAGTGTGCCACCCCAGGACTTCCAATTTATGTAGACATAATGATAATAAAAGAAAAGCAGTTTTCTTGGAAATGATCTCAAGAGATAGGTACCCCAGAGGTGGGCAGCAGAGTCAGTTTATTTTATAATCTAATTAGCATGAACTGATGCTTGTTATTTAAGAAAGAAGAGGTTGTTATTCTAGACAAAATAACCATGACCTTAGAATGGGAAAAGAGTGCAGGTGCTCTGACCATTGGGAAACAATGTCAAAAAGATCATCTTTATGTACTATTAAGTCAGCAAAATAACAAAAACAACAATAGCCACATCTACAATGAATATATATTCTCATTTATGTTTTTTGTTTTTAGGTGGAAAACCATGTCCTCCTAGTCAAGCCCTCCAAGAATACCGTTTATGCAATGACCATTCCTGTATGCAACTCTACTGGGAGACATCACCTTGGAGCCCCTGTTCTGAAGACACATTGGTAACTGCCCTGAATGCAACGATTGGCTGGAACAGAGAAGCTATGTGTGGTGTAGGCATTCAGACACGAAAAGTCTTCTGTATCAAGAGTCATGTGGGGCAAGTGATGACCAAAAGGTATTTGTAATATATGACTGAAAATGTATGTGACTATTGCAGAATTAAGCATTAATAATCAAAACATTTATCAAACAACAAATATGTCTCGTTCTATGCTGCAGGATGTTTATTTCTTTTTTTGCTTTTTAAAAAGATTAAAAAGTATGCCCCAAACAAGGGTAAGCATAGCCACAATATAGACCCTTTGTGATGTTATCATACATGTTTTGGTTAATGGATGAAATAACATCTACAAATACTGAATAAGTATGAATAATCAAATGTGTTCTATAGATCATCTCAGTGTTTTTAAATCTTCTCCAATCAGCATTTTGAAAGTCAAAAGAAACACAAAACAAAATAAAAAATCACAATTATTATCAAGTTGATTTGTACTCATAGCTACCCCTTGTATTGCAGAGTCAAACTGTGCTTTTGGGATTTTCAAGAGTGACCTTTCAGAAGCTGATGTCTAGTACTTACATGTTTGCACTATTAGGGGACTAATTGTTTAGAAATCTTCCTTAGGCCTCACACATCTATTCTGCAGTGAGCAAATCAATTCATCAGTTGTTATCGATTACACTGATGGATGCCCTCAATACTGTTACAGTTTAGTTCTCGACTACTTACTTAAAGGTTGGCATTTTGAACCCACAGAAAGGCACCTTGGAACACAAGCTTGGCAATCTCTTCAGTTCTAACTGTACATGTGCATGAGGTCACCATGAGTTGGTACCACCTTGAGGACAACTAACGGCAACAGTACTCTACACATGGATACATTTTAAAAGACGATAGGAAAACTATTAAATTTGGACATGAGGACTAGGGTAGAGATACCAGAGATAGTTGAGAACAGTTTCGGGAGACTGGCAGACTCTGCTATTGAATTTTTGTCTGAAGAATGAATAAGGAGACAAACCCTTTCTCCTATGAAAAGGTTTGTGAAGAAAATGGAAGGAAACTATTTTCTGTGTGATTCCCCTCTTTGTAAGGATTTCCCAGTGTTCATGTTTGACTAGGTCCCCATCTGGTGGTAAAAGAGTCCACCTCAGCCATAAGACAGGTTGGTGTGAGCTTTGGACTAGTGGCACAAGCTAGACAACTTAGAGTCCTTCTCCAGAAACTTTCAAGCTCAAGCTGGGAGCGTGAGGCTCTTTTTGTATTCATGAACTAACAGTTGCCACAATTAAAGTTAAACTTTGGGCAAAAAGCAGAAGGAGAGAACAAAGGAGCAATCAAGGCAGAACAAGTGCTGGCTTCATCAAGCTCTGGTTCTATCCCTACCAACTACACTCTTTGTCTCCAGGCAACATAAGCAAATCCATTCATTCTTCTGCCTTATTCAAGACAATGTATGGGGGGTTTTCCCCTTGGACAACTCAAATTACTGAATTCATTCAGGGACATCTTAGTGAAGGAATCTGGACCCTATCTACACTGTCATGGCAGTCACTTTTCGCTGAGTATGAGGTAGGGATGTTGGATGCATGGAAACAAGCTGATGTTGGCAAGAATAGTGCAGACTGACCAGACATTGCTCCCTGCTAGCACTGGAGCAAATGCAAGCAAAGGTCGTTAAGACCTGAAGTGTAGCAATAGCAAGGAAACCCTTCTCTCTTTCTTTTACTTGCAGCTTCCAGAAAATTGGGACTTGGTATGTCTATTATTGCAATTAGTGAGTTTCCCAGTGTCTGGCATATAGTGCTCATAAGCATTTCTGGAATTCACAAATTAACTAGACCAGTGTGTTCAGAAATGGTAAGATTGACAAGGGTTGGATATGAAAACTGGAAGACGGAGAGGGACTGATTTTTATCTTCAGCTTCAATACAACAGAAAAGAAAGGAAATTACTTACTATGATAAATGTTGGCAAAGGAGCTATCATGAAGAAGTGAACAGGTCATGCATATGATCTTCCTCTCTTGATAACTCATAAATGTTATTCTTTCTGCTCTAGAATCTAACCCTATAGTGCTTGTAATGTTTTTTGGATCAACTGTGTTTTGGTACTTGCCAGGTGCAGGTGGACTGATTGAATCAGTGAATTATAAACAGACAATAATGTTTCTATGTCACCTGGTTCAGGTGATAATAAAATCCATGGAGCTATGGTAAAATTCTAAAAGGCTTATAAAACTACTCTGCAGATATAAGGGTGTCTTTTATCTGGGAAAGATTGCAGCCTGGATAGGTCTTTATGACCTAATTTCTTATCTACTTTAAAAAAAAGATATAGGAAACATTAAGATGAATATCCAGATGAAAATAAATATGGCCAAGGTGTAGGAGAAAGCCCTATAGAAAATACAGTATACCACAATTCTTTATAGTGATGGAACAATTGAGCATGCCTAGCATCTGATCTTTCCCCATCTACAAAACTTTCAGCTCTGAACTACAACAGGAAAAGGCTACTCATCAATGCAATCTTAGCAAAGAGGCATTAGAATTGAAGCTGACACTTAAGGACTAAATTATCATCATAACTTGAAGGCTATTTAGA